TTTGCTAACCGTAAATATGAACAACTCTCTTACCCCAAAAATCCGAAAATGTGCGGCCCCATTCTAGTAACTCTTTTGAAAATGCAACCCCATTATAGTCAATCCAGTCGTGAAAATGCGACCCCATCCAGCTGCATATCTCCCTATTAGCCTCTTATAAGGAAGCGTCCCTCCGGGCCCGCCCAAAACTATTATCTCTTTTGAATAGATCATCTTGTTGTAAAGTCGTCGTTTAAGCGCATAAACGGAAGTATTTTCTTTCTATATTATCGGTGAAATGTTCAGGACTAATGTGGATTCGGTTAGCTTTCGCGTATTTATTTTTAGTACGTGATACGTAATGCCTTGTCACGACACGAAAGACAGTGAGGGATTTTATAGATTTATACCCCCTTTATAGAGTTTATACCCGATTCTAGAACAATCACAATAATAGTCGCCTCTCTTCTTTTTTATACATGGTATTTTACTGGAATAACAATGTTAGTTATGTTTTAGCCTCGCAGAAACAATTTGTTTGAAAAAACTAACTAATGAACCATCCTAATTTGAAGGAAAAAATTTCAATGTTATTATGAAAAGCTGTTACTATCGAAAACTGTGCAGCTTGTCACGTTCATAGTCAAGGATTATGTTATATGTGAATTCACGTGAAACGACCTTTAAACATCAATACAACGCGTAGTCTACGCGTGCCCGCTGCCCGATTTTAACACTAACATTTTCTTAAAGCTTTTTGGATAGACATGCTACTTATTACCACTTACAAGTCGACCTCAAGAGTTTCGTAGCGAGCGGAGCGTTCTTTTTGACCCGTGAAGCCACCGAGCGAGCTACGATTTCGCAAGGAATAAATTCTAGACATTCTTGGCTGTTTGATTGTAAATCAACAGAAACAAGAAACCAACACCAGCAAGTCGCCCGGCTGGGCCACCTAGACAATATTTTCAGTCGCCCGAGGCCAAGTCTTGCGCCGTTAGATCTAGTGCACAGCCTTTACTCGTCGTCCTCCTAGAGCTACGCTGTAATCTTACTTCTCCTTTGCTGACGCAGTATCTTTTTTCTGCTTGTGCAATCCAACCTGACTTGCACGTGATTCGAAGTTGCAGCCAATAAAAATCACACAATTTTTTCGGGACGGGCTCGGGATACGGGAAAGTTAAAAAGCAAGGCAATTTTTTACGGCGCTCGCTGGCTGACTACGTCATCCCGTGTGATAAGGTTGGGGGCTAATTGTCCATAATGTGGGGGCTAGTTGTCGGGGGGCTAATTGTCTGGGGAGGGGGGGCGAGTTGTCCTAATACCGAAGGAGGTGAGGGGAACAGGGGGGGGTCCGTACCCCGTTCTCCCGCCTCCCGTACTTTTTTGTTCTTTTGTCTCCCGACTCCCGCCCTTTATTGTGTTTCTCCCGTTATCATGTAAATCACGCTGTTTGACTCCGTATTCTAATAGGGAGGGAGTGCTTTGGCCTTCAGTCCGAAATAAAAAATTGTGTTGTAAATCGAACCACTCCGCACTCTCCAGCGCGATCATTGAAGGGGCATTCCTTCGACACAAGTTTACACCACGCGGCAAAATCTTCAGTGTTTTGTGAACTACAGTCGTACGGAGCGAGCTCCCAGGAAGGTCTTCCATGGACGGATTTTTCCCCACCACACCCAAAAATACCGAGACCGATCAGAATGGTCTTTGACCTGCCTCGTACCGAGACGTCTCTCTTTCGATGAAAATGTCTGCGCAAAGGAAGGCGGGAAGGTGGTCTTACGGAGAATTTCGACAGCTAGCGAAACAGACGAGACACTGATATGACTGACACAGTCGACACACGTGTACGTGTGTCTTATGGGAAGGTTTCCAATTTCATAGGAAGTACGAATTTTCGTTTTTTGACTTTTCTCGCGTATAAAATTTTGCTTTAAGCCTCGGAGGACGTTACATGGAAATGGACGTTGTTGGGTTCGTTTCTTTGATTGGATGTAAGCAGTAACAAAATAACGAAAGCTTGCCTTTTGAATTTCCACTCCCGCTTCCCGCTATCGTAGAGATCCCGTTTCCCGCCACTTCTTCTCCCGTCTCCCGTACCCCTCCCGCCCCTTCCGGGCTCCGGCCCACCTGTTCCCCGGAACAAGGAACTTAGATGCAAAAGTGTGGCGTGTGTTTGAAGCTGAAAACTGTTTAACAGCCAAACTAAAATGTTCTTCCTAAAAATTGGCGTTTTCTTGTACTTGAAATTGTCGCTTTACGAGTTTGTTTTTTCACACCAGAGCCGAAATCACGAGCATTACTCGTTTAAAGAATTGCAGGACGCTGTTAATGGCGATTCCCTGAAGTCAGATGATCTACAGAGGCTATTTGACAAGCTGCATTTCTTGAACTGCACTGCAAGCAAACCGAGTCCGGATTACCGAAGGGTAAGATAGGTGTTGTTGGCACAAATGGCCCAAAAAGATGAAAATTTTACACTAAAACTTAAAAGTCTTAAAGTTAACTTAGTACGGTAAAAGTTTCTAGAGAAAAATATATATCTCTGAAAACTAATTACGACGATTTTTAATAAGAAAGAGAAAAATGAAAACGTAAAACTAAGCTCAAATTACGATGAGATTATGGGATTACTGAATTCTTTTACCCGGTAAGACCGATCGATCTTCGAAGCTGCCCTTTCTCAATGTCTTCGACCACGCGGTTTTTCATCATTTGCATTCACTTTCACGCTTTGTTCTTTTAGTGTTTCAGCCCTATAGAATTGCACGATATTCATGGATCCTCACCGTCAAAAGCATTAAATTCCTCGGAGTTTGTAGAGATCAGTCCTTCGATAGTGTACTGCCTTTTGCCAGGGCGTGAAAAGAATTCTGGTCAACAACGTTGCGATTCTCCCAGGAACCACAGCGAACTTTTCGACTCGTTTACGAGGAATTTCAGTCATGGCGAACACGGGATCACTCACGAAGCTCTCGATGAAATTCTCGAGGAAATAAACAAGACGATCGGGGACTTTTTAACTGAAAAGAAGGTAGGTGAAATTTAAGGATAAAAGCAGTCTTGGGGTTTAAAAAAAAAGGTCCATTGGCTCCCTCTCAATCAATTCGCTTTCAAAATAAACTTTTTATTAAGGTGGCCCGAACCTCTTTGTATGCGTGTTGGTTATATATGTGTGTTTTTTTCAGAGTGAAAGATTCAACCGATTTCTATGATTTTTGGCATACCAAGTAAATAATGATGGAACTTTAAGAAAATGTTATTTGTTTTCTTGTAGGTATAAAAAAACCTTTGAGATATCGGCATATATTTAAACCACATTTTTACTAACAATGTAAATATAGCTTCGAAATCCCTCGACACATTTTTCCCTAACTTCAGCAAATAAGCATTAGAGCTCTCTACTTTTACATCACTTGCCATCACATTCGTACGGGAAGTTTACCTTGCTTATATGTTCTATCACTGATATTATCTGAGATTTTATTCCTCTCTTTACTGCTGCCAATTATTTCAACATGACGGTGTCCAAGAAAGCTCTTGCTACTTTGGACACTGTACACAAATGAACTTAATGTCTTTTAGTAATTATTATTTGTCAGCTTCTTTATTTTCCTACCTACGTATACTTATGTAAATATCTTATATAGTGTGAAATAAAGAATTGAATTGAATTGAATTGAATTGGGAATAAAGATGAAGACAAATTTGACAGTCATCTTATTCTTCTCATTATCCCCAAAAGCCAACTGCCCGTGCGAATGTGATGGTAAGTCTTTAAAACGCCAATAAATTACCAAATGCAAGGGTTTCAATGCAGCTGAAAAATGGATGGTTAGAAGTACTGGAGTTGGTAGCCTTATTTCTCTTCAAAACAGGAACCTGCACCGCTTGACAGTTTTTCGTAGAAGTGATATTTTGCTTTCATTGTTAAGATTTGTTTCCAAAAGAGAGGGACAAATACAAAGTAAGTTTGATGAATAGAAGTTCTTTAATATCACCGCGCACTCAGCTTAAAATTGTTCTTCTTAAATTGCTAACTGTATTCGCCGTAAGTTTCTGATTACTCTGTTTCTTGCAATAAAGCTTAGGTAGGAATATCCTTTCAGATAGGAGATAGTCTGTCGGCAGTCTTCCTCTGTTTGTCCGTCAACTTTCACAAACGTGCTAGCGTAGCATTGTAAGGTTAAATTTGACCAGCATTTTGTTCAGCAAGTTCTACTGTCACGATTGCCTTCAAACTTGCAGATGTAAAACTAGAGAGCTGTGAGTCGAGGCTTATTTGCTGAATCGTGGGATTTCGAAGTTATTTACATTTTTCATAAAAATGTGGTTTTAAATGTATGCCGATATCTCAACGGTTTTTATACCTACAAGAAAATAAATAACATTTCCTTAAAGTTCTGTTATTGTTTATGATTTAAGGATGCCAAAAATCATAGAAATCGGTTGAATCTTTCATTCTGAAAAGTGCAAATCAAAAACATAACCAACATGCATATAAATAGGTTCGGGCCACCTTATATATTAAGCTTATATTATCCTGTGAGCAAAGGTTTCTTTCTGGCATGGCTTTTAACATTTAAAAAGCCGTTTAACTAACTATGCGACTGACAAGCTACTTAAATGTTAAGATTTAAAGATTTATAGATCTCAAGTTTAGCGTTTGGTATATTCTGGGCTCAGAAAACGAAACCATGTTTTGTGACACTCAGAACGTTTTTCAGCTTCCTATTTCCTCTTTCCTCTTTCCTACTGCCGGTCATTTAGTGTTTTGAAAATCTAAGTTAATTAGTTTAGAAAAAAAAATGAAAATCATTTTCTTAAGGTTATGTTCTACATAAAACATGAAAATGGGAAGTTTCATGTCGTAGCTGTGCAACAACGGGAAGGAAATGTACATAAAGGTGATTGTCATGCAAAGTTGTTGTTTTACTGATCCAAACCTATTGCTTTTATGCCATCCTCGTTGCGGTCACCATCGTCGTTGCTTAAGCTCCCTATAAATTAATAGACCTAATATACTGATCTACATTTTCAGTCAACCTTATGGACACCAAAGGGACAGAGCCAAGTGTGTCTTCATTAGAGATGTGTCTAAGTTTAAGAAAAATTAATATCTTGTTTCAAAGATTATATGTAGGCCTTAAGATAGGGAGAGTGGAGCTACAAGTTTGTAAACAAACTGAAGAAAACTTAGATATAATTCAACAAGTACTCATTATTTGGGCATTGCCAAAATAGAGTTTTCGAGATTGCTTGTTTTGATTCAAAGTTGCAATCGGCGCACAATACCAGTGAACATAGACAGGCCAAGCGACGTGAATATTTGCCCTGTGAACGATTCAAGGTATGCAGAAAGCATGTTAGAAAGAAAGTTCTGGTAGGAGGGTACTTGATCCCACTCTTATGTTCTCAAAAACCTTGCAGCAAAGAAACACAATTCCCAACAGTGCATATTCCCAACATATTGAATAAACACTGAGTGAAACAAACTATTAAATGATTTAAATTTTCCCGCTGTAAAATAATATTGTCCTTGAAGCAAACGGTATGAATGTTTTTCCTCCAGACCAAAGGAACCAGTCATTGCCCTTTTTCATTGTACAGACTATTCATTGCTAGTAAGCACATGTCCCCTTAGAGGATGATTTTTTGCTAGGAAAAGATGAACTTATTTATCTTGAGCTTATGGTATTTTTTTATCGCATCAAGAAGCTTGGCAATTTTTCAGAAATTTGAAGGTAAAACTGTCAAAAATAATTGGAATTGACGGGCTTGGCTGAGAGCAACAGAGGAGAGCTAATTAGTTCTAGGGGCGAATAGAGTAGACGGAAAAGAAATGCTTACAGTGCGACTACTTGAACTGGGGCACTTAGAGGAAGATTGTCCTGAAATACTATGATTTTTGAAAACAAAAGATTCCCAAGTTTTTTTGCAAACGAACCAATAACATTCATGAATTTTAGGGCTGTTTCCTGAGATGTCAGGTAAGTTCAAATGGTTTTAAAGTTTTCAGCGGTTGCATACTAGGTGAATCTTGAATTTTATTGGCCTGTTTGCAAAATAACTTGAGAATCCTTTGTTTTCAGATATCGTTATGATTGGAGAATCTTCTTCTAAGTGCCCTTGTTTGATTAGTCACACTCTAACTGTTTCATTGTAGGAACCACAAAACAAATGGGGTATTCTCTACACCCTTACATATATTTTTTTAAAATACTATAATTTTAACATTGCTATCAGCAGCAAGGAATGAAATATTAGTGCCTACCAAATCACCAAGTCTAATTTTTCACAATCAGCAAACTACTGAATCACAAAGTCTAAATGCTTTCAAAGATCTAACATTCTTCTTTACTTTACCAGTGTTTTTCTGCGGAAGACATTTTTAAAGAGATAGAAGAGGGAGAGGAGGAAGGCCATCATCACAAGGAAGGTGAACACAACCATGAAGAAGAAAAGGTTCTTGATCAACATGATTTTGAGAAAGCCTGTGCCAGCATTATCCTGCACCTAGTTAAAGGATACTGTATCAAGGAAGGTCATGGACACGACAAGACCAAACCTGATCTACCATCAAAAGAATTTTTCATGGAAGAACTTTTTGATCACAAAAAGTACCTTTCTGAAGAAGACTTAGAAAGCATTGCTGAAAGTCTTGGTATTGGAAAGAAATCCTCTCAGTCAATGGCCTCATCTTCAAGTGAAAGCCATGATGGGCATAATCACAGACGCCGAAGGTCTGCTCCAGCTGCTGTGTCATCACAGGAGGAATCAGCTGCATCTCACACCCTTCATCGCCGCACAGTTGATTCTCATGCACACACTAATGGTGGAAGTAGCAGTGTAGGTGTTACTCTAACATCAAGCCCCGTTCTTACCCCTATACAGTGTATTAGCTTATTTACGCTTAGGGTGCATTCCATTGGTATGATCCGGATCAGGATCAGTTATCTGAGATCAGTCAGGTCATAGCCCATCAAAGGAACCCATGAATCCACCCCGGGAAAGGATTCATTGGTTCTTTTGATCTTGATCCAGATCATTCCAAAACAATCTTATTAAACTTCATGAATCCTATTTAAACTTTAAGGTACCTTAATAAATTGAGTTTGATCAAACTTGATTTATTCTTGAGACAAAGTCCTCCCCCTCCCCCCCCCAAAAAAAACCCCTTAAGACAGATGGTTTTTGAGTCACTTAAACTTTCTCAAGTGAATTTTTTAACTTTCTGAGTTCAATGTGTTATACCAGGGGCGGATCTAGGGGGAGGGTGCAGGGGGTGCGCACCCCCCCCCCTGAGATGACCTGCGGTTTTGTAATACAACTGGTATTCTGCAAAAAAAAAAACTATGTAGTTTACTGGTGTTGAAGTAGAGCAAGAGACGAGTGCACCCCCTCCTAAAAAAAATCCTGGATCCGCCCCTGTATACAGTAAAGGAAGTTCCATGTTTACTGAGGCATTTGTATACTTGACTGAGTAAAATACTTACTAAGTTCTCACAGTAATTAACCATTAACATGGCTATTTTAAACGACACCCGCCTTTACTACTTTAAAAACCAGCAATAATTCCCAGTTCTTTGAAAAGAACTTGAAACTAGTACACTGACTTGTATGACCTTTAGATAAATTTTTAGATTGTGCTTTGTCTATTATATCTATATATAACAGCCTTTTTAACTTGCTTTCAACCTTAGCTTTTGTAAGATTAATTCAATACATGTATTCCTGAACAATGATCAAGTACTTGTTTACAAAGAATTTTAAATTTAATATTTAATGTTTTGTGTTTAGTGTTACTCAGTCGATGAGATGCTGACAGTTTTTGACATTGATCACTCCATTGGGGCAGATGATTATGACTTCAAACAGCTTTGCCCTGCTTTTGTTCAACAAGCCAAGAGCGGAGCTTGCAAACAGCAGTCAAACCAACCAAAAACAGAACCGGAAAAGGATATGGGAAAAAGTTAGTATACACGTGTACACAGGTAGATGAGATTTCAGTGAAGGGCATTGAATGGTTGCGATTAGATGCAAGTGTTGATTTTGGCTGGAAACCCAGATTTCTCATTAATTATAAGTGCTATTTTGACTCAAAGTTGAAATATTACAAAGGAAAAAATAATGAGATACTGCAAGTTGGATATTGCAAGTTGGATATTGCAAGTCAGGTTGTGGAAATTGTAGTGTTTTACCAATATTTTGAAACTGTACTGTTGTCCATATTATGTTACATTGACCAACTGTACATGTGGTGTTCTGACTTATCTTCTAATATTGGGATTTTGTTCTCTGTTTAATAGTATCTATCCAACAAAAATCAATAGGTAAACTCATGATCTTTTTGGTTTTGTTTCTTATCTCCAGTCTGGGGTTATGGCATTGCGGCTGTGACTATAATCAGCCTTACATCTGTAGCTGGCGTGGCAACTATTCCATTTCTAGGAAAGAAGATGTACAAGAAGATCATGGCAATGTTGGTAGCTCTTGGTGTCGGAACCCTTGCTGGAGACAGCTTACTTCATCTGTTACCTCATGTAAGCCTTAACGTTCCTGTTTATAAACACTGGTCCGGTCAAATATATCCTTTACCTTGCTAGTTGGCACTGTCCGTCTTGTAAAAGGGGCCAAAATAGGCTTCAAGCATTAAAGTGCATAACCTGTGCAGAACAATTTGCATGTTTCAGGTGTGACTGTGTTAACATGAGTCTGTGTAAATGTAGAACCATACTGTTCAAAAGTTTTTTCTACTCCTGATCAGATCAAAACCTTGCACACTTATAAAAGCCATTAAAAAATCTATGTGGTTCTGTAGGTCCCATGTAGAATGAAAGGCCAGATCTGTGCAAGTTTTTTTGTTCCTTCAAAAATTTCTGCAGACCTGTGTTAACAAAGTTTTGTTGTTATAAAAGCTGCTCTGAAAACCTGAGAATGTTTAAGTTTTTCCCTTCTAGTTAGCTTTTTGCTTAAACCCTGAAAGTGGTTTCTTGTAATGATAAATTAAATAAGTCATTTTGTGATCAGGCATTTGGTCTCCACCAACATGAAGAAAATGCTGAAGGTGACAGCCATGCCGATCATTCAGAAGAGAAGGGATTCATTTGGAAGGCCTTGGTGGTGCTGCTTTCCATTTATGGATATTTCTTGTTTGAAACTTTGATGCATCTGTGTTTGAAGAGCAAATTTGGAGATCATGGTGGCCATAGCCACATTGATTTTGAGGTCAGTAGTAATAGTACAATTTACTGTTTCAAACCTGAGAACTCTAAAATTACATGAGTAACATGATCCTAAGTTTTAATGTATCTTTTTAATCAGTGCAACCAAAAGAATGTTATTTTTCCTTAGGTACATGTAATTAATGCAAAATTAATAAAGAGGGTTCATTTCAATGATCATACCATTGGATTACACAGTCAAACTCAAAATCCAAACCACCGTTTATGATGCTTAGTGTAATAAACGGTACCACAACAAAGTGCTTCTCAGCTCTCAGTTTTTATTGGAACTATCACTGACTCTTTAGTTATTTCATCCTCAGACATCAACAACCATTTTATTCCACATAGTTTAGATACAACAGTAATTACACACTCAGTTAATAATAGACCTGTATAAGAAATCTGAAAAAACTTTTCCACTGCTTTTATAGCATAAAAGGCTAAATGGGAGCGGGGGAAAGATGAAAACAAACTTAAGGTGATAAAATAAGACAAAACTGGTTACAGAAAACTGAGATAACAATACAATAAGGTCAAATAAGGGAATTAAATGGAAAAAATTTACATCCAAAAAATCAAAGATGAATGAAGAAATGAAATAAAAATAATTATGATTGTGCTTTCCGAGGCTAAGATAAATTGCTAAAGTAATAATTGAGCAAGTGAGAGACTTCAATATAGTCACTGACTCAAGCTCTAAAGTTCAAAGAAGTATTTGTTGAATTTGTTTCGGAACTTGGATTTAACTTTAAAGTTGATATTAAAACTACTGAAAAATTAATGTTTTTGCAAACAAGTCCAACATCGTTTCCGTTACATCATTAACGGGCACTCTTTGGAAACCAAGATTACATGCCATGCATTTTAATCTAATTATACATGTGCAGGTACAGTGTTATTGTGCCATTCGCCACTTTAGAAACGAGGAGACTGGGCCAAATTAGCTTTTGCAAAGACCTCTAGGATCACACTAGTCAGCTATTGGCTAGACTGCGAACAAGCGCTTAAGGGCGCTCTGGCGGCAGGGTGGGAAAAGAAAGGAGAGCTTGCAACTATGTCTCTGGAATTTGAATATCTGCATCGAAAAAGTTGATGGGAAATGTTGAGTGGCGGAGATGACATTAGTAATGATGTCATTACCCTTGGCACATGTTTTTCATTGTTTGTTTACATTCGCGCTCACTTACGCTTCACGCTGATTAGTGGAAATCTGACAGCTCAGTCGACAAGGAGCCACAGGGGAATTGGAGGTGGAATTCAAATTCCAGAGACTGAGTTGCAAGCTCTCTTTCCTTTTCCTGCCCCTCAGAGACCTTGCTGGCAGGCTAGCTGTTGGCCAATTTTTCCCCATCCCCAGTAACGATTTCAGAACTTGGCCTAGTCTCCCTCTTGTTTCTAAAGCGACAAATGGCCATTTAGTAATACAGATCACAGACCAACATGGTGGCCTGGATGTTTGATTATTTCAAACACACAACAAAATGCCTAAGTAATTAAGAAAGTGCTGCTTTCCTTTATGTTCATTTCTGGTGTTACTTGTTATAGCTTAATGTAAGCTCCATTTTTTGTACAGCTTCCTGGACCTTCAAGTCGGCACATGAGCTTTAAAAATAAAAGGAAATGTTCCAGGCTAGAGCATCATGAAGGAGGTCATCCGCTTGGTAGAAGTGATGAAAATCTTCCCATGGAAATTGGTGACACTGTTTTAACAAACAAGGTGAGTGTGACGATATTGCATTGTTTTAGCATCCAACCAGATTTTAGCATTTACATGTGCAAACTCAGGCTTACTTTTGTTACAGTTTGATGTAATGGCCACTCATGAGCTCACTACGTTCTGATATTTAAATAAGTTGTGGTTTAAGAACGTGAGCCAATTCTTTACATGGTGACAGAACTGAGAAAGAAATATTGTAGAAGTGTAGATTACAAATCATGTGTTTATTTAATTGGAGGATATATTAATAAGAAATTTAATAATACATTAATTGATCCACCAACCATGATCAAGGTTCATGATACACCAATCACTAACAACCATGGTGAACAAAATGATAGTCCCACTCAATAAATCAACACTACTGTCTGCCCGCCTTTATTACTTAGCAACCAAAACCGCCATGCTATGCAGGCTAATCAAAACATCACAATAATAACTATTGTGAGACAAACAATAAGTAAAAACACTTTATAATAAAAGTAATCATAATGGTTGTACATCTCTACTTCAGCAATAACAGTGGCTTTTATAAGGTGTTGTTTTGGTTTTTCAAATCCTGTTACTGAAAAAGCATATATAATTTTATATATTATCTTTGTTACATGTATATGTGGTGTCGTACTCTGGTGCTTTTGGTGAAAATTAAGGATCATTAAAAACAGTCAAACTGCCAATTTGTTTTAAACTTTGTAGTTCCAGTACCACAGGGCAGTCAGAAAAATATTAATCTTCCAGCTCAAGGCATTAATAATTTTATTATAATTTTTTTTGGTCGATAATCTGGTCCATAATCTTGAAATTATGATCTTGAATTAAACATAAAAAGTTTCATGCAGTGACATATAAAGAATGTGACACACTAAATTGACTGAATCTTTTGACTTAATAAAGTACATGTTTAAAAGCAATTTTTAATTTAAAATTTCTGTAATATCCAGCTTGATATATATTAGAATAATTTATGTACCTTTAAAAAAAAATTTATAGCTAAAGTTCTGTCCGTGTTTTTTTTAAATGTTACTGTTGTATGCAGTGATATCAAACAATGACATAAAATTTGTATTTTAAGTTTATGTTATAACATGGGTCTTCTGTCACAAAAGGATGGTTCCATAAAGAATTTTAGTAAGTAGCAGCAGCACTACAAGTCCTTCTTGTACACTACATTCCCATTGTGTTTATGAACATGTATCTGGTACAGATACTGATGATGGTGAATATGAGGTTAATGTTAAGAACAATAATACTGATATTAATTTAAATGTCATTATTAAAAATGTGTCATAAACATGTAACTGGCGGTTAAGCATCAATAAACTGATCATGAAATAATCAAAGATCAACGGAAGTAACTTATAAACATCAGTTTTCTTCAAGTCATTCATGTTTTATTGGCCAGTTGCTTATCAGTTCTGAACAATTAATTCTCCCATGTCTGTGTGAAAGATTACATGTAGTCTATCTGTGATATTCAAATGAATAATTTTCAGAAAGCCATTAATTTCCTTTAGTTTCTACAATACTAGATGTAACACTAAATGGTAGCAAACAAGCAAATTGTCAATAATTATTTGAAATTCATAAACATACACCAACGAAGAATGATTAAAAAGTGTATCTGTGCAGGGAACAGACATTGTTAATGACTTTGAAACATGTGTATCATGTGAAATTATGTAATGATGAGTCACTTGCACAGCAGATTCTCATAAAAAATTGTTTTGTTAAATTAACCTTTTCATTCCATAATTTGCAACCCACTTCTAATACACCAAACAGACCTGGAGCACCAAGGCACATGTGGAAGTTTTTGATACTTTCTCTTTTATTTGCATCTGTGTTACAATAACCAGCCTCATATCTCTAGCTCCATAAATGAAAGAGCTCAAAGTTTTATGGAGAAGGCAACATTATTCACAGCAGCAAATCACAAAAAAGTGACCAGAACTGAAAGAGCCATTTTTATATTTTCTTTGTTTTATTTAAAATTTCTAAATTCTGAACTGAGAGTTTGTGATATTCTAAGAAAGCAAATTTCTTAATCTTGAGCAGGATATCAAAGATGGTTTTGAAGACCCCAAAGACAGAGTTCCCCAAGGTCATCAAAATACAACAGATAATCGCAAGAGAAGCCTTAAACACAGCTTATCACGCCACTCTGTTTTCAGCGATGATGTAGAAAGAAGCAAGGCATCATTGAAAACTATTTCCACTGTGGCATGGATGATAATCATTGGAGATACTCTCCATAACATCGGTGATGGATTGGCCATTGGTGCCACTTTTGCCAAAGGTGGTAGCTCGGGTGTTTCTGGTGGAATCAGTACTTCTATTGCTGTGTTTTGTCACGAGCTGCCTCATGAACTTGGTAAATAATATTATCTTGATGATTTTTAAATTTACATTGTAAGTATTCCTCTATTGGTTGCAGATGTTGCATGATGCCCCAAATAAGCTCAGGACCACAAAGGGTTCTTAATTAAAAACTGGTCTGATAGTGGCAGCCAGTGTTGCATCTCAACTGACATCTGAGATCACTACAAACAAATGATGTATTTAGCAGACATGTATTGTTGGTTACTAATCTGTAACATGTATTACTTAAATTTAGTTATTTAATATTTATGTTAAATACACGCAGTGTGCAAAGGGGGTAGTTTGGATAGCCTGAGGCTAGTGCACTTTTCATCGGGCTAGTGAATTCTGTTCTTAACTTGCCTGATGGACAAGAGAAGATTGGGGAATTCAAATTGTTACAGAAGAACTGTAATCAATCTTTCCTGTCCAGGCCGTTTGAAATGACGTTTGGGCTATTACATGCTAGCTATATGTAAACTGACTTTCTCTTCACCCTGATATTTCACCTGAATGTTGCATAGGATTGTTATAGAATTGGGCAGAGCTGAAAGCAAAGCTCCCATTTATACATTTTAAAAAATCCACAAATCTATGCTTAGCTTTAGGGGAGAACCATATAACTGAAAAACATAAACTTTAGCCTTCTATCAATTAAAAGCTACCAACTGGTCAACAGAAAACTTCTAAAAGGCACGTAACCTCAATGAGTTGGCACCTGAGCCCGTGATACGGTCATGTGGCTCTGGTCAGCGGATACCCTGTTTTGACAGCTGTCAATTGACCATAATATGGATGTCTATTATCGAGTTAAATACAGGTTACAGGCATTTCACATTGGTTTTCCTGTGGTGCAGACGGACGTACGGTCACGTGATGACCAAAATTTCTTAGATGGATAGATTACCAAATTTTCTTAGGTATGGGGCTCTGCTCACGCGCGCGTGGAGCTCCGCAGAAAAGACCACTGGTTTCATGTGGTTTGGTATTGATCATGACATTATATAAATTGATAAAGGAAGGCATTTGTGCTGTACCTGTATTTGACATTGCAGGAAGTAGTGTTATTATCACAAAATTGTATTAATAAAACTTAATTCAATTTTCTTTTCTTTCTCTTTGTGTCACAGGGGACTTTGCAGTTTTACTGACAGCTGGTATGACAGTCAAGATGGCATTGTTAGCCAACTTGCTTTCTGCCTTGTCTTGTTATATCGGCTTAGCAATTGGTATTTACGTTGGTCAAGAGGATGATGTGCGTTTCTGGATATTTGCTTTGGCTGCTGGAATATTCCTTTATGTCGCATTGGTGGACATGGTAAGAGTTCTATGAGTACTGATAGTGAGATAACTGTAATAGACCTTATTCACGATACCCATTGTGCGTATTAGATTATATTCAAGTGCTATTTTGCGCCATGTAAATAACAAATTATTATTATTATTACCCGCCATCTTTGCATGCGCTTAAGGACCGACGGGATAAAAGCGATGTCATGTGGTTTCTCAGGGGACAAACAAGTGATAATTTTTTCCAGTGCTAGAATTCGCGGTCGTGTTTGTTTATTCTTGACAACAGAAAATGAACATCTTTTTATATTAAAGATGATAATGGCAAATTAGTATAGGTAATAGCATGATTTGTAGCGATATTTGGTATAAATACCACGAGTGATATTTTTAAATTGTTATACGTAATTTCACGAGCCGTTAGGCGAGTGAAATTTGAGACAATTTTGAAATATCATTAGTGGTATTTATGCCAAATACCACGTACAAATCATGTTATTATTTGTTTATACTACTACCCGCAAAAGGTTTGTAATTTTCACATGTAGGTATTTCAAATTAAGCTGAAATACCACTGCTCTAAGCCAATCAATTTGCAGAAATTTCTCATGTAGTAGTATAATGGGTGGAAGTGATCATTTTCACTTTTTTGGATGCAGTAGCGACCGTAGACGTCCTCACAGCAAGCAGTAATGACGTTAATTTTGTCGAAACTCAAATCGTACATTTTGCCTAACTATTAAACCGTCATCTCGTTTTGAGAGAATAGGGACTTTAAGATCCAACGACGCGGACGGCAACGAGAACGTCAAAAAAAACAATTGGTTTAATAAGCAAAACAACAACTTCGCACGTGCATCACGCTTTTTTGTACATTTCTTTCCTGTTTTTGCACGACTACGACGTGAAAATGCCTAATTTGGCGTTTTATGGAGGAAGTAAACAAGCAACGATGAAATTTTATTTCTCTTTCTGAGCTTGAATTTGGTCCCTTGAAATTCAGCTTCAGGAGGGTTCGCCTACATTTGATAAAGTAAAATGGGAGGAATAATCGCTGTTAAGATTGAAGGAACGCAAATTCACCTTTTAAGCGACGTTCTCGTTACCGTCGCGTCGTTAGATCTTAAAGTCCCTAATAAATAAAGTCGACCGCGATTACTCGCGTTGACAATTTTTATCATTTGTTTGAGCCCTGAAATACCACGTGACATTGCTTTTATCCCATCAATCCTAAAGGGCGAGCAAAGATGGCGGGTAACGTAAATAATGTCTATTATGGAAATTCTGTTATGGCTGTTCACTTCCCAATGGACAACTTAGGATGAAAGAACGTTATGGGTAGACTACAAAGCAGTCCGTATTTTTTTTTACACTTGTCTATCCTAATGATCCCAGAAATCACTGCACCCAAATCTTGTACCCATTCTCCCTAGGTTTTCTTAAGTGGGTTATGTCACTCAGCAACTTCTGAAGCCCTTTTTCACAGCTCATCTTCGGCGATGACATTAATTGATAATTTTTATGTTTTTTTTTTCTTGAACACAGCTTCCTGACCTGATGCACAGCGAAACTCTTCAAGCGGAACCTGTCGCTACGTTCTTGTTACAGAACTTGGGTTTGGTCCTTGGATTCGCCATTATGTTGATAATTGCGTTCTATGAAGAGGACTTAATGGCAATTAAGTTCTAGCACAACTTACATAATATGTAGTGTAGTATGATTAAGTGGAAATAATTGGGTAAGATAAGTTGGTGTAATTTTAGTCTCTTAAAAGTAGCCTGTTGGATACCTTGGTCCCAGAGGTTTTTCTTGAAATTTTTCTAGACTGGTCGCGAGTGCCAAGTTAAAATTTTCCTCTAAAGCTACTTGCAAACTGACGCAACGACTCCCAGTATTGTTGGGCAGCAAAACGTTTGACCAGCTTCAAAACTCTGGGCAACAACTCTCAACAACACGCAACAACAGCACGTGTAATATTTTGGAAAAATAAATTCTTTCTCTAGTAGAGACAGGCAAAATTTACCTGAGAACGAACTAGGGCTAAATATATCCTCATCGTCCCATCGTTAGTTCAAATTATACGAACCAATCAAATTGATTTTCGTGTTTGTAAAATTATCAACCAGTCAGCGTCCGATGGTCGGCACACTCTGACCCTGTACCTTGCATGAAAGTGAGATTCAAGTGCAAGGTAACCAGAGGTTTTTCTCTTGCTTGCCGCTTTACAACTTGTTTTCACCTCTTCGCGCGTCTCGCTCTTTATCACGCGGAGAAAAATTTCCATCAAAAACCTCTGGGACCAAGGTACTTGTTGGCCGGCGGAATGAATCTGTATAAGATGAAGACGATTTCCCCAACAGTGTAACAGCATATAGATAATATACATGTACTACGTAAACATATTTTCTTCAATAAGGGCTTAGCTTTCTCACATACGTCAACCAACTTTCTTGTGGAAAGTCACCAGAATTTTTTTTATTTTTTTATTTTTTGAAAATAACTACTTTGATTTGTATATCCTGTATAAACTAAGGTCTGATTTTATTTTTGTTTCAATCAGCAGATGATGGCTATAGTGCGATTTGTATTAGACTAAAAATTTTTAACGGTTTAGTTCTCAGAAAATTCTTGTTCTTAAAAGAAGTTAGGAAACTGGCTATTATTTTTACAAGAGATGTTTCATTAGAAAGAAATTATCAACTCAACAATGTTTTATTTAAGAAACTTCGTTATTTTCTAATTACCAGTAACCGATATCACGGAGTGATTTCATTAATGCCCATTATTGGGTGGCCAAAACGAAACGAAAACAGTGGAATAAGTCGTTATTGCGGGGCGCCAATATGGCCTCGTTATGGGTTATGTGAAACTGCTCGCTTTTACTACTTATACAATTATTACTCATGTTTAAACGTAAAAATAAAGTTTACGTAGTATTTAATCATGTTTTGAACTTGCATTGTGTGTGATAAAAGCGGAGTGAGAACAAAACTGATTTTTTACCATATACAGCTTTTTCGAGAAAGGTTGTCAGAAAAAGTGCACACGACAATCCCGAAAGGTATTGCGGGTGTTTTTTAGTTCACTGTTCTTCAAAGAAATATGAAAGAATGGCATGAGAGGCCATGGACGTATGTTTGTGAGCTGCTAAATGAAAGCAACTATAGTAAATTCGACAGCTGTAGTCGTTAGGAAAAGTGTACAGGTCATATCCCCTATTGCCTTTCGCGACTGTCGCGGGACATTTTTTCCGACAACCTTTCTCGAAATGGCTCTCTAAACTGACAATGTGTCAACCTCACTTAAACTTTGTTTAACTTGGTCCTCTTCTTGTCTCGCTTCGCTAGCCGATTTATGCTGTTTCACCCCGAGCTTTTCCCCCACTAAAGAGCCTGGGCCCAGGCTTAAAAACCTCAGTTTGCAGTTGTCTGTGGGCGCCAAAGCGAGAAGACGACTTCATGTTTTCTTGGCATTGTGACCTTCACCGCCCAGCTCATCGGTTTGTACCAGTTGCTCGGACTTCATGCGATGTCTTGAACTCCTTTCCTGTTTGATTTTAAGTAAAATGCCGCGTAGTACCTTCGCCTTTGCAGGTCAGACTGAATAGTCGCTGCAGGTAAGGGATTCCGGAAATTCCGGAATCCGAGAAAATTTTGCTTGTGGAATCTGAAATTCTGAGCTTTGGAATCCAGAATACAGCCCAAGTAATCCGGAATCCAAGTTCCACGGAAAAGGCTGGAATCCAGAATCCAAGATTGTCTTGGATTTCCTTACATACTCGGGTGATAATAGGTTTTTATGTGTTTAATGTATAAGGCGAACAAGTTCTTAAATGGGTTGTTATCTTCTCAAAGAGTTACGAAGGTCGTGAAAGTTCAAACAAGATGTATGACATAGGCGTGGTCTAAAAGATTCATGAATTACTACTCAATAGTGAAGGCAGTAAATATCACTTAAAAATATTAAGTGAAATTTCATAATGGGTTAGACTTTCTAATAGTTCGTTTGGTTATCGTTCAGGAGGGAAAACGATCAACTCGCGATTTCCGTCGCTCAAAACTCATGAGGGGTTATGAGTTTCTGGTTTAATATATCTTTCCGAATTTATGTAAACATGGCTTCACTGAACCTCTTCAGGCCCTCAGGTAAGTATGTCTTTGCTACCAAGAATTCACCCTCCCCACCCAGGAGACTCGTGGCTGTCTGCTCACCCCCATGAGCTCCGCAATTATCATGATAATTATAATTATTATCACCAGAGTCCTCATTGAGCTGGCTCGGGCAAAGGGGGAAACAAGCCAGCCTCTAGTGGGAACTGCTTTTTACTAAGAGGGTGGTGTCAAAAAGCCCCTTCCTTTTGACACCGCAGTGGCCTGGAGCCCATCCATCCCTCTATTTATCCATCCATCCATCCATCCAGCCAGCCAGCCAGCCAGCCAGTAAATCAAAGCAAAGAACACCCAAAGTGACACTCTGAGAAATCACTTTTTCTGTTGCTAATCTCTGATGACTATTTAGGTATACATGTGGTGTTGATGGAAGCAATAAAGGTGAAAGTTGAATGATTTTTCTTTTTTCTTTTTTCTTCCTCTTCAGTCACAAGTGATTTTCCGTGGAACTGTGCCGGAATTAAATGTTTAAACACACTGGAAACTAAAAAATGAGTTCAGCCATAATTTTCTTTGTCTACACTATTAGTTTATAACACCACTGAATAATCCAAGTTCACATTGATGTGCAGTCTACTTGGATCTAGTTTAGTTCTGGAGATGCTATGACGTTCATTTCCTAGTTATTTCTTTGATCTATATATGTAACGGGAGGCGAAGACGATGGAAAATGCATGCTATCCGCGGATCTCTGGCAAAATTATTGACGTTCGCGATCGGAAATTGCTTGTTTCAGTCTACGCGATATCGATTAAAATAATTTTCTTTGATGCTCTTACATTTTATGAGACGGAAGTCTCATAAAGGAGACGGAAGACGGAAGTCTCGTGACATATCATATGACTTTGGCTAACAGTAAATCCTAGTCATCCATAGAAATCCTTGTACTCACACATACAGTAGTTCGCTTTCAATTTCCTTGAAACTTCCTCGTTCAACACTAAAGGAAGACAACTTTGGAGACTGATCGCATCGCAGTTTGATCCTTGCCGCTAAGAGAAACATACCAGACTGCTGGGCGATTAATAGGTGTTGCAAATACGTAAGTACGCCGTTTGTACCATTTTCCTGATATTGAAGTGCTTCTTAGAGTTTTGCATTTTGATCAAATAGTTAGAAGACCACAACGATCACTAGATTCCGTAAAGTTGAGTATGAGTTAAGCATCAACGTTTTAGGAGAGTCTGATTGGAAATACTATTTTCATGTTAAATGTGCCAGTCGGCTTGGGAAGATAAAGAGTTGCCTAAATCGCTTCGGGAACACAGCTTGTATTGATAAAGTAGACTAATAGTGCAAGCTTAGTGTTGATACATGTACAGTGACTTGTATAAAAAATTTCCGAACTTTGAATTTCTTTGTAGAGCTTAATTTTGAATTCTGGTTTCTGTGATGAAATTCTGAATTAATTTGAGAGCCCAAAGGTCTGAAAGAGGCTTTCCGTGTGTGGCCGCTGCTTGAGAATCTTACAAAAGTAGACAACATAATTCACACAGGAAGTCTTCTGCTTTCCCGTCGAAACAAAGCGAGGCAGTCAGGGGCACCCAACGACAATTTTCGGAAAAATATCTGTTCGGAAGACGACTTGAGATCTAGAATTTTCGGAACATTTGTTGTAAAATTTCTTGCTTGCCCGCTTCTCCTAGGATTTTCGAACATCTAAAATATGGTATTATTGCCTATTTTTAACGGATTTTTACCCTAAAAAGCTCACCTAGAATTTTCGGGAGCCTTTTTTCTGGCTGAAATTTTCGAAAAGGTTAGTTTTGATCCCTATAATTTTCGGATCACTAGACTTTCAGCTAGGAAATCCGAACAGATGAAAAATTTTTAGGGGATAAAAATATGCCTATATCTACCGTTTACATACCAAAATACGTTTAACAATGCTATATTTTACCGGTTTTGAACTAAATTCTCGTTGGGTGCCCCTGGGCAGTTGTGGCTGATGTTCTTCATTCGTTGAAAAGTCAACTTTGAACGGACAATTATAGGACCCGTAGACCACTGTTGTTTCTTTTTGTAGACGTATAAATCCTCGGTAGCAGGGATCTTATTATCCATGAGCATTATTATGATTATTTTAGTGAATCGCGTGAATTAAACGTGATCGCGTGAATTAGCGTCCGTTCAATATCAGGCGTGTGGCACTATACTAAATATTTTGCGGGGCTCTGCTATTTTTCCGGTTTTTTACTCTTTAAACAATAAGGCACGTTTAAATGCGTTGCATAAAAAATATCAGTTTACAGAAAGATGAGAATCGATAAAATTGCACATAAACATATTCCTATTAGTTCGCTGCATATCTTTTTACAGATCTGTTCAAATGGTAGATTAAGGTATCTCGACTGGATTTTTTAGGGGGGATACCTCCCAAGTTTGAGCATTAACTAAGTCAGCATCAGCAAAGATATGGGAAAATGGTTACCACAACTGTATTATATAAAGGTAAAAATTTCTTATGATCTGGGTTTTATTGCAATCGGAGTAGCCATGGTAACGTAATGAGGCCATTACGGTTTTTATTTATCTTTGCGTTTCTCTGTAGTACGAATTTTTTTAAGAAATCGCTTAAGGGAGTATGTACCTACCATAATTGCCTCAATTATGGCAAAGGTTGAACAAATTCTATGCGAGCGTTTTAGAAATATTTTGAAACAAAGTTTTAAGAATCATAAAAACAGTGAAATATCATGCTATCCACACAATGAGCTAATATTTTAAGAAAATGATAAGCCTTGGAAACGCAGCTTCATCTCTTAGTGGTTTGATTCCATTGAAAACTGCGTACAAAAGAAGAGGGGAATTGCTTTGGGCGATCGCGAGAATTTTAGAAGAATTTTATAAACTTGTATTCAGCTGCTTTTGTTTTCCCCCGACAACGATGAGTACCCAAAACTAACTAACCACCTATTTTTTCTCTTGCACATTTTTCATCAGATCCCAATAAAAATGGAATACAGTTTGGAACAATTGAACTATTTTAGAGCCTCGTACATCGCCTTCAACTTAATCCCGGAAGGGCTTCGAACAGTCTTCAAACAAGAGTGGGATTTCCTTTACGAGGCAACAGCGTTTGGGAAATGGAAGGACACCCCAAAAAATGGCCTCGATTTCTACAACACAGAACCACCAAGGAGCCAAACCAAAAATGCTCGACTTTTAACGACAATACAAAGGGGAAACACTGCAGAGTGGGACTGCAGTCGTCTATTTTTTGCAATATTATTCTCGAACACTATTGGCAATACATTAAGTCCAGGAATAAGAAAAGAAGTTGACGATCTTCGACAATTTCGAAACGATATCGCTCACAGAAATGAGGCCGAACTTACCAATGCTGAATTCTATAATTATGTTGCAAGAGTGTTAGCTGCTTTCACATCATTGAAACTTCCAATTAATGAAGTTGATGATATAAAAAACCAGACTGACTTTCCCACAGCCGAACTAAATGCTCTGAAACTACAGGCAGATAACCTAAGAGCTGACTTACAAATAAAGGAGCAAGAAGCCAAAACTCTGACCTCAGAATTACAGACGAAGAAGGAAGAAGTTGAGACCCTTACTCAGGAAATCAATTCCAAAATTGAGTCGTTTTGTACCCTTACATTCAAGCCATCACATCCGATCATCAGACGTTTAAACGATGTCACGAGAATCATGAAAAAGCTGGACGAACTACAAAATGAAAGCAAAGGAGCCATCAGCACCGTTTATTTATCAGGGATTCCGGGCTGTGGCAAAAGTCAAGTTGCTCGTCAACTGGGACTGGAGTTCTTTGACAAGAGGTTGCATGAAAGCAAAGGCCTGACATTTGTAGCAACCCTTAATGCAGAAACCCTAGATTCACTTGCAGACTCCTATTCAAGTCTGGCGAGACATCTGGGAGTTACAGAGTACACTTTGACCAACCTCGAGACCTATTCAAAAGGGAAACCAAGAGAAAAGATCCAGTATCTAAAGCGAGTAATTTACCCAAAGACGAAACAATTTTCTAAGTGGCTAATTATTGTGGATAATGTTGTTGACCTCTCTTTAATTCGTAATGATCTGCCTCCTACCGGAAGTGAAGAATGGGGAAAAGGTCAGGTGCTAATAACTACTCAAGATAGCAGCTCAATACCCGTCAATGCTCCACTTACTTACCATGAGTCTCTCAGCAAAGGAATGCATCCAGATGACGCGATAAACCTGTTACGACAGGTATCCCAAATCCAGAATCAAGAACAGGCTGAAAAGGTCGCTGAGGTTCTTGAGTATCAGCCACTCGCTCTTGCAGCTGCTGCCTTTTATGTGCAAACCATTGTGGTCAACGGCTCTCCGAATTACAGCTGGACAAACTACATGGAAACACTTTGCCGTGGCGAACGCGAATCAACCGAAGAATTTCTTGCAAACCAGAACATGGCGTATTCCAAGACAACGACTACTGCCATTAAAATGGCAGTTACCAGAGCTTCAGAAAGTGATGAGGTTTTGCAACAAGTATTTTGTTTGTTTTCGCTATGCGCTTCTGAGTCTCTTCCATTAGAAGTTGCTGTTGACTTCGTTAAATTACGTGGTACGGAGAAAAAAGAAGAATTGATCAAAACTAAACTTTTAAAATCCTCCTTATTATCTTGCTTGCGTGACGATGACGGTTCATGTACCGCTTTTCTAAGGATTCACAACATTGTTCACGAAGTGCTTAAGTCAGTCATACCATCTAAAATCGATTTAAAAGATAGACTTCACAGCATTTCTGTTGTGATTGATATCTTTTATTCTTTTTTGGAAAACAACAAGAATCTGTTGCGTTCAAGTAGGCATGTTTTTGCTAAGTTACGTAGAATTACGAATCATTGTAAAGCATTACATGAAATTCTTAACAGTGTTCAGTTGAGGAATTCCGAAAAAATGTTTAATGCAATCACCCCTGGCAAATTAGTTTCGTGGCTCTCTTCAACTGCCGAGGTCTGCTTGGATCTTGGTAATCCATCTGATGGATATGTCTTTGGTAAGTCAGGCTGCAGCTTCCTACATTTTCTAGATGATTCGCAAAACGATAAATCAATAATGGCGTGCACCTACAATATACTAGGAAAAACTTACAGTCAACTTAATCAGTGCAGTCAAGCTAAAGAATACACTGAGAAGGCTCTTACCATCAGAATAGAGGTTTACGGAGAACACCACGGTGACGTAGCCACAAGCTACAATAATCTAGGAAATGTTTACAGTCACCTTGGCCACTATACTGAAGCTAAATTACACTACGAGAAAGCTCTTAAGCTAAGAAAAGAGATTTATGGTGAACACCACGGTGTGGTAGCAACAAGCTACAACAATCTGGGACATGTTTACAGAAACCTTAGCCAGTACGCTGAAGCTAAAGTATACTATAAGAAGGCTCTAACTATGAGAAAAGAGATTTACGGTGAACACCACGGTGACGTAGCAACAAGCTACAACGACCTTGGAAATGTTTACAGAAATCTTGGCCAGTACACTCAAGCTGAAGAGTACCATGAAAAGGCTCTTGCGATGAGAAAAGAGATTTACGGTGAACACCACTGTGACGTGGCTTCAAGCTACAATAACCTGGGAGTTGTTTACCGAAACCTTGGCCAGTACAGTCAAGCTAAAAAATTTCATGAAAAGGCTCTTACCATAGCAAAAGAAGTATACGGGGAACGCCATGGTGACGTAGCAGCAGGCTACAGCAACCTGGGAAACGTTTACAGAGACCTTGGCCAGTACAGTCAGGCAAAAACACACTACGAAAAAGCTCTAACCATCAGAAAAGAGATTTACGGTGAACAACATGGTCTGGTAGCAGCAACCGTCGACAACCTGGGTATTGTTTTCAGGGATCTTGGCCAGTACAGTCAAGCTAAAGAATACCATGAGAGGGCTCTTACCATCAGGAAAAAGATTTACGGTGAACACCACGCTAACGTAGCAGCAAGCTACAACAATCTGGGAATTGTTTGCAGTTACCTTGGCCAGTTCAGTCAAGCTAAAGAATACTATGAGAAGGATCTGGAAATTAGCAAGGAGATTTACGGCGGTGAACACCATGGTGATGTAGCGACAAGCTACAACAACCTGGGTACTGCGTATAGTGACCTTAGCCAGTACAGTGAAGCTAAAGAATACTATGAGAAGGCTCTAACTATTAGGAAGGATATTTACGGTGAACATCATGCCAACGTTGCAACAAGTTACAACAACCTGGGAACTGTTTACAGTTACCTGGGCCAGTACTGTCAAGCAAAGGAGAACCATGAGAAGGCTCTTACCATAAGGAAAGAGATTTACGGTGAGAACCACAACGTTGTAGCGAACAGTTATGCAAATCTTGGCTGTGTTTACAGTGACCTTAAGCAGTACGATGCAGCTATAGAATCTTTTCAAAAGGCTTTGCAAATATATCAAGCGGTTTACGGCGAACAACACTCTGACGTGGAGAGAATTTGTCGAAACTTAAGAATTGTTGAAAGGGAACAAAGAGAACATAGCAAAGTTGAGATCAAATGATGTATTGTCCAAGAAAAACAAGTATAACAGCATTACTAGCGGTTCCACATTGGAAGTAAAACGCTACCTAGATGGAAAAGTTTAACTACTGTTGAAACTCTCCATAACGGCCACTTTGGGAACAGGAGAAAGTTGTAGAGAAGTTTAAGCAAGAGTCAATGAATGAACTGTCCGCCCAAAAACACTGGCCTTTGTGGAGAGGTGGCCGTTTATATTAGGGAGCAAGTTATATTAGGCCTCCTTTTTTAAAATGCGTTTGACTTACGTAGATATTTCAGTGAAAGACCTTGAAAAAAACAAACCTAACAGGCATGTTGTACGGGTTAGTGGAACTTATCTCAAAACGTAGAACTCACTGAGATCATAAAGAGACTAAGTCTGAGTCTGCTTGCCTTTGAAATTCGCTCTGAAAAAGCTAAAATATTGCAATCAAAGATTAAATCCAGAAATTGCTGACTTAAAGTGCTACAACCTTTAGCTCGTTGATGCGTAGATGAAATAAAAGAGGAAATGAAATTATTTTGCTTTTGACTGCCTTAGCGTAAATTGGTGTTTTGAAGTTGAAGATTTTGTTCCGGTCAGGCGACCCTCGCTCTTGTCCACCTTTTTAACAGCGTAGTGTAGTGTTCATTGATTAAAGCATTCTCTTAAAAGTTAGTAATACTCATGAAATTTTTCCCGGAATGCTTAGCAATTATTGAATAAGACTTAGAATGTAAAAAATTATGCTGATCGAGGAGGCCGTCAATCGGTAAATGGAACTGATTTTTACTAAATGGTAAACTTGATTCCTAGACGAAACTTATCAGTCCTGAATTTTGCACACCATGTGCTCAAACCCTGGACCGACCGGTTTACCTGTGTAAATGGTAAACAACCAATGTAATATGTTTGACCGCACCAGGAACCTACGGTTGTTAGGCCCAGATACTTGCGTTGTTTCGACTGGATGCTTGGCAGGGCTCTCTAACTGGAATTTGAGAAGAGACGCAATACTCTTCTTTGCCTGACTGAGATAACTTTTATATATCACTTCGGGCGGTGGGAGAATCTGAAATCTATCGGTATTATTACAACGGTATCCATTCGACCACCTTGTTTTTACGTTCGTTTATTTTGTTATGTTCACACTACAACGGCCTGGATAGCTTTTGCGCCGGCACGAAAATTATATGGGATAGGCCTTCTTTTCACAGATAAGAACGGTGACTTTGGCGCGATTTCTGTAACGGAGCAAAGCTAAACCGGATAGCACTTTTGGTGTCGGCACAAAAAGTTACCCGGTATTCTTGGTTTGTAACCACGTGGCCATGTTGGGGCTCAATATTCTCAAAACAATAGAGTTTTTCTCGAAGAATTTACCTTATTTATTCGAATAAGCGCCCAACCTCGAATTAGCGCCCACCTCGAATAAGCGCCCACCTCGAATAAGCGCCCATCCTAAAGGCAGGAAAAGTTAATAAGCACCCAGCCTCGAAAAAGGGCCCACCCCACCCTCACTCCCTCTCCCTCCCAATTAAACTCAAATAAGCGCCCACCCCCACCCCACCCACTTGAGTGACAATGAGATTGAAATCGAAATTGAATAGGTACTAATAAGAGACTTCTCCGAAGACGGAGTTTTCTTCAGAGTCTTTTACAGAAACCTTGCTTTGTGACTTCTTTGCATTTAGTTAATAGCATTCACTTTTTTGTTGCAAAATAAACATACTAAACTTGCTGAAAAAGGTGAAAATTTAATAAGCGCCCAGCCTGGAATAAGCGCTCACTCTCAAGATCCAATAATTTGATATGCGCCCAGGGCGGTTAATCGAATAAATATGGTACATGAAAATATAGTTTAGTTCCCAGAGGAGTACCCTGGGTACCAGAGGTTTTTTCTTGCGCGCGACGGGGATCTTCGATTGGTCGGCCGCGGGCCGACACGTGTTCGGCCGAAGGCCGAAGACACGAGAGAGAAATGCTCTTGCTCTTGACCACCGACATGGCCGCCGTGACGTCACGTGCAAACCAACAATATTGTGAACCGGTACCCTTAATAAACCCTTAATGCGGGCAACGTCGTGAATTTCCAGTGACATTGTATGTAATCAGTCAGTAAACATTTTAGTTTTTTTTTTTATTTTTTAGTGATATGGAAAATATGTGGCGTCGTAAGTGTTTTATCTATATAGCGCGTTCAGTTGGTCTAAAAATATTTACAATAATTTAACTTGGTTAACTTGTTGGACCTCGTCACGGGTTGCTATCATAACTAAACAAGTATTATACATCGACAGCGATGGCCAAGAGAACCGAACAAGCCTTGCGAGCAATCAGAGAAATGAACAGAAAGTGAAACCTCTCTTGTATTTGTGTCTACAAAAACGGCGCTAGAGCAAGAAAAGACTGTTTCCGTCTGGCAAATATCTAAATAATTTGTTTTGTTGGTCCTTCAGAGACAACTTTTAAAATAGTATTTCAATTTTCGGTGCACGCATATTGGTTGAGAGTAATTAAAGCATGATGAGACTCTAGTGTTGCAATATCCAGTTATTAGGTTTTAAATAAAACAGGAGAGACGATGATCATGAAATACCGCAATGATGGTGCAAGTTTTTGTCTCTCCTTATTTCACGCATGATTTTTAGAGATTCTGTGCCGGGATAAGGTGTTTAAACAAAAATATCAAACAGTTTGCAGTCTACTTGAGGTTTGGACATTTTCTGTCGTTTACATCCTCGTTTTTTCAGTGATACACATGGAGCGAGGACGATGGTAAATTGTGGTCAATTTGTTAAATCATGTGTGTCTAGCAAAATTAATGACTTCCTAAACTCTTCGTTTCAGTCATCGGTCTCTACGGAATATCGAATTTAAAAGAATGACTAAGACATAGACAATTTTTTCTTGTCTATCTACACTACACTCCTTCCATTTTACTTCTTTTCTCTTGATTTTAAAGACGTTTTGAAATGGTTGTTCTCTCTTAATTTTACACTACGCGCTGCTGTGTTCAGAACTGGTGAGGAAATATTCCCCGTTTATTTTTTAACCTGTCCGGACGCTGACAAAATTACCCACTCATCGACCAATATCCAAGTTCATCAATAAATCTCAACTTGACTGAAAGCAACACTGAAAGAACATTCTTCACTTGGACCGCGCATACCAATATACATAATCGCTCAAATAAGGAAGGGACAATTTGACTTGAGGTAGCTGCGCATTGCATTTGACTCTCATTTTCCCAAAACTTCCGCTATTGTACACAACCTTCAGAGATCGCGTCGCTGTTAATTTGTAGCGGCTGGGAGTCGGGAACACTGAGACCGCTGGGACCGCGATTAGCTGCTACTGAATAACAAAACGTAAGTACCTTCGATTTGTGCGTAGTTACTAACTATGATTTCCGACGAGTAGCCTAGGCCTGCCAAGAGGTTTAGTTCATCCGGGGGCACTCCCTTAATTGGCCTTAAAGAGTATGTCCTGCTGACCCGGGCATGGTTTTCGGGGTCTTGCATAAGGTGAACAATTTCACTATCTAGCGTCTTCAACAAGATCATCTTTTTGGCCGGAAGCCTTTAAAAGAGGGCCTAATGTTAGCGATGAACCGTCCACCTGTGCGATACCAACATTATTATTATTATTATTTTTAAATCAAATCATGTCCATGATACTAGTTTTAAAAAACCTTTATTCTATATGAGAAAAGAAATGAAAGTAGGGTAGCGAAGTGACGATTTTTATCTTAAATAGGGGCAGGGTTTGAAAGCTTCGGCGGCAAACTTCTACCATAACTTCCCTTCAGTACCTCCCCCCCCCCCCCCCCCATGGGACCGCGATTAGCTGCTACTGAATAACAAAACGTAAGTACCTTCGATTTGTGCGTAGTTACTAACTATGATTTCCGACGAGTAGCCTAGGCCTGCCAAGAGGTTTAGTTCATCCGGGGGGTACTCCCTTATTTGGCCTTAAAGAATATGTCCCGCTGACCCGGGCATGGTTTTCGGGGTCTTGCATAAGGTGAACAATTTCACTATCTAGCGTCTTCAACAAGATCATCTTTTTGGCCGTAAGCCTTTAAAAGAGGGCCTAATGTTAGCGATGAACCGTCCACCTGTGCGATACCAACATTATTATTACTACTATTTTTAAATCAAATGATGTCCATGATACTAGTTTTAAAAAAACTTTATTCTATATGAGAAAAGAAATGAAAGTAGGGTAGCGAAGTGACGATTTTTATCTTAAATAGGGACAGGGTTTGAAAGCTTCGGCGGCACACTTCTACCCTAACTTCCCTTCAGTACCTGCCCCCCCCGCCCCCCGGAGTTGATCAAATACCACTAAATGTCCGGAAGGCATCGAACTTTTTAGCACTATCTTTTCAGTTTTCTGCTGCTTGAAATGATTAATATCACATGTACAAAGCTTGGGTCAGGATCTCTGGAGATGCCTGAATTCAGCTATCAAATACCGTCCTGAGTCTCCTTTGTCTGTGATAAACAAATTCTTCTTTGTTCGCAGTGAAGTGCATTTCTCTCGATAGAAAAACAAGGGCAACATCACTCACCATAAAGTTCAAAATTAATTAGTAGCAGAATGCTAGATATACAAAACTTTTTATGGCTTTATTATCTATTATTGATAAACTAAAAGACAGTGCAAGAGTTTTAATTGCTACGATGAGGATGTGTGGAAGAACAATTTCCAGACTTTGACGTACTCAGGGCTTAACCATACTCTGATATATTTGTCCAAGTTTATTTGATATCCAAATGAAATGCAAAATTTTTCTACTATGTTTGAGTTATTTAGAAAAATGTTAAACGAGCAGACGACATTAATCACACAGGATCTCCTCTCAATTCTTGGTTTACAACCACGTGAAAAAGACGGCCATGTTTGGGGTCAATAAAATAGAATTTTTTTCTCGAAGAATTTACATGAAAATAGAATTTAGTTCCCAGAGGAGAGAAAAGCTTTTTTTCTTGACCACCAACATGGCCCCCGTGACG